CATTATTCTCCTACTGTTATCTGTGTTTCCAGAGTAACACGAAACTGGACAAAAAAAAAAAAAAATCAAAATATGAATAAAAAAAAAGAAAGTTATAATATATTAAGAATTCAGAAAAAAAAACACAACATAGAAACAAAATATGAACAAACAAACAGCGATTGAATTCGCATTTTGGCAGCAGCACCTGACCTCAAGGCCTTGAACGCACAGAAATGAGTTTCCGTCTCTCTGCGGCTACCAGCAGGCAATGCTCTCAAGGTTCATAATATTCGAGATATGTATGAATATTATTTCGCGTGAAAAAAAAAGCGTTATTTCACTTCTTTATGCAGGCGTAAGACTTTTTCACTCTAGGAAATTAAATTTCTTGAAAGAACAAGAAACAAAAGCTCACATCCTTTCGCTACTTTAACTTTTCTCTTCTTTTAGCTCTTGTACATATTGTTTTTATACCACTGGTCAAGAAAAAGCTTCCCTTCGGCCTGACTCAAGATTGTGGATGCCTCATGTCCAAGCCCAGTGGATTTTCTCTTTACACTTTTCAAATATCTGTAGTATCCAACTAATTGAAGGCCGGGAAAGCTGACGAAAACGGAGCAAGACAGCCAGACATCATGTTCGTAAATAAATTTGTCCCGATTTATCAGAAGATATTTAATGTCTTTCTTTGGTGAACATAAATTATGTGGTACTTTGAAGACATGCAGATGGTTTGCATGACACTATCACTGTCGTCTAATATAATACAGGAACCTTTAGACTATGGATTGCAAATTAGTAGTTAGCAGATGCTTGCGTGCTATAAGAAATATACAAATTATACACAAAATAGGATAACTATTGGCCTTTTTTGTAGCATCCTGAAACCTCTAACACTGATAAATTATTTGATGTTACCACATGGTTGTTACAAAACACAGTATCATCGATTTTTTTCTGCTGATATACGAAGTTTTGAAAAAAAACCTTAGTTTCTCAAAAGAAAACTAAAAGAAAACCCCTAAAGTATGCTTTTTAATTACATGGAAAATATTGTGGAAATTTCAAATGAAAATGAAAATAGTACCCGACCACTTTCTAACTTATCTTCGCGGGTTCTGGGAACTTTCAAATGTATATCTTTTTACGTATTACATATATTGTTCCTTATGTGGAGAACATCATTAGATTCTTGTTCAACGATCATAACGACAATGGTAGTTATTCCAACCTCATTCGGTCATGACGAATGATCAATGTATTTTAATATCCTGTAGTTGGGAATTAACAGTATCAGTTCTACAATTAAGATGTTCAGATCAATCCTGCGTACAATCAGATCTATCAAACGTCGCGATTAAAAATATTTGAAGAACACCGACGGCTCATGCAGGAGCATACTGAGATTAGAAGGTACTTAAAATCTTTTATTCAGTGTACATGAATATAATACTTCACAGATATGCAAACTGTACATATATACCTATCACTACTACATTAATTCTCCTTATTTGTCTATACAGTAATTTCCTTCCGCTTTTCCCTCCACTTCCTCTTCAGCTGTCTCGCCTTGTCCTCTTCGTGCTCAGGCTACTCTACGCCAGGTCCGTTATCCTTCTCGTTGGGTTCGAGGCGACCGGCCTGCTCCAGAATCTGGCGAAGAAAATCATGAAGTAAATTTCCTTGAGCACATCTAATAAAGTGTCTCAGTGTCCCAATGACGAGAGCGGGAGAGCCTAAGAGAAGAAGCTCACCGGACGGGGTATGCTGGCGGTATCGGGGGGAAGGGGCGCCGGGAAGGGATCCTTGTGCTGGATCCCAAACGGCCTCACGTGGTACAACATATATTCCAGCTCGTACATCCTGGCGGTGTTGACATAGTGGAAGGATATGGCGGTGTCGGAACAGCAGTCGAGTCCCTGTCCGAAGCAGATTGATCAATTAATGAATACTAATCTATTGGGCTTCTGTCAACGGCATGCTTAGTGGTTAGACGTCTTGTGGCGAAAGACTCCAAAGAAATTTCTTCTAACTATATCAAATAGCGACTTACTAACTTCTCGAAATACTCCTTTGCTAAGTCGACTGATTCCCAAAAAAATGATATACAATGCAATCAAGGCTTATTGTAAGGGAAGAGGTCGGTCTGATAATTGGAGGGAACATTTCTTTAACTTCTTTGTAATCTCAAATCATTTACAGATACTGCCTGCATAAGTATAAAGTCAACCTTGGTTCCGTTGTTAGTGCTGAAGAGAATCGAAAATATTAACATGGCCCCTTTGTAATGTTATTTCATGCCAAAGCGTTACTATGACTATTTATAAAATCATAGATTAATAAGCACACAGGTTTCGACATCATGCAACCGAAGTGACCCGGATACCTACAACATAGGGACTATAGTAAGCGTAGGTTTTGTACCATCCGGGTATTCCTCCCATGAGGTGCGTGCCCGGGGTGAAGGGGAAGAAGCGGCCTCGCCCCAGGCTGTCGCGCGAGTCGCCCGCCATCACGCCCACTTTCTCCAAGCACTTCCCTGCGATTTTAGGAAGTTATGGAAGGTTATGGCTAGTTAGTTATGCAAAGTTATGGTTGGTCTGTTAAGGAAAGTTATGTACGTATAAAACACATGTCTGGCAAGGTGACATCTGTTCACCTCTGCGAATGCAACTACAATGGGTCAAGTATGAGGGAAATAAAATTCAGATGCAGATGTCTTCTCGATATATTCTGTTATTAGAATCCGGAAAAGGGAGGAAGTAGATGAAATATAGCATGCATTGTCTAAAGATATGGTGCTGCACTGTGCTATGCCTTGTATGATTTTATGTAATGCTGTGGGCTGTGCTATATGATATATAGTCCTAAGTATTCGTACAAGAAAGATGAGTTGCACTTACATAACATGCAATGCGGACAGTAAGAAGTTAAAGGAAATTTGAATTAAAACATCTAGAGCCAGTGCCATTTTCAGCACATCTGATTTCAGATACTCGCCTATCTCCGCGTCCTCCGCGCCATGAGGGCTGCTCTTACACTTTTTCTCGTCCGTGAGAGCTTCCTCCACGAACTTCTTCGTAGCCTCCCGACTCAGCACGTAGCCTCCACCTGCAGGAATTAGGTAAATAGAGGGAAGAGGCCAGCTAATGGCATGCGAAGATAACTGGAAACTGAAGCGGAGGGAAAGCCTGCTGAGTTAGCCAAAGGCCTGGACGCGGTGCGACTACGATAAAGATAAGATTCGTCACTGACAAGACTTTCTTGACTCAGCCATTCAGTCCAAATGACAGAGCATCATAACCTGATTTTCACTGACCTCCACTCATGTAGCCCTGCTTGGTGAAAGGCTTGAAGCGGGAGCCGAAGTAAATGGGGTAGTTCGGGTCATACGAGCTCAGCATGTAGCGCAGGTTCTCCACGATGACATACCTGCGGGGAAGAGAAGCTCAAGAGGAGGGGAACTCGAATGGGTAGAGCTCAGGGCAGGGGAACTTGAATGAGGGGAGCTCAAATGAGCGAAGCTCAAGGGAAGGGAATTTGAATGAGGGGAGCTCAAGGGAGGGGAGATTAAGGGAGAGGAACTCGAATGAGGGGAGTCCACGGTTGTAGGAGCTCGGATGAAGGGGAGCTCAAGAGAAGCGAACTAAGAGAGAGGAGCTCATATGAGGAGGGCTCGAATGAGAAGAGCTATCGGGGGAGGAACTCGAATAAGGGGAAATGAAAGAAGAGAAACTCAAGGGAGGAGTTGGGAGAAGCTATATATGTCAGCTGCGTGGAAGCCACTGGAGACGCTAGGCGCTTAAGGGAGGTGAGCGGGAATGAGGGGAAGGGAGCGGGAATGAGGGGGAGGTGAGGGGATGGGAGCGGGAATGAGGGGAGGATGAGATGGAAGAGGAGAGGGAAGGAGGGGGGGGGAGAATGAGTCACTCGGGAGGGGGGGAGGGAATGAGGAAGGGTGAGTAGAAGGTGAATGAGTGATAAGGGGGAGGGGGAAAGAAGGGGTAGTAAAGGAATATATAAAGAAAAGAGAGTGAAAAGAGGAACGCCCAAAACTGTTTGATTTTATTTTTACGTATTCCATAGAGAAGATACCTTTTGATATTAACTGAGCAATAACTGATTACAAACGCAAAAATATATTTTTTTCATCAGAAATATTTGAAAAAGTTTAAATCATGGCGAACGTATAATCCCGTTGAAGTACAGGTGCGGCGGCGCTGCAGGTGTTATGAGAAATACATTTGTCAGCCACGTGGAGCCCCCGCGGACGCCAGGCAGGCACAGCGGGGGCGCCGGAGGGAGAAGCCATCTTTTTATTCCGCCCACACCTATGCAAATACCTGATTAACCTATTTGAATGACTGTTTGTCTGTTGATTGACCTATTTAAACTCTCTCTCTTTCTATCTAACTATCTGTCTATCTGTCTGCCTGTCTGTCTCTCTCCCTCCTTCCTTTCTTCTCTCTCTGTCTATCTGTCTGTCTCTCCCTCTCCCTCCCACATTTTATTCCCTGTCTGTCTGTCTCTCTGTGTCTCTCCTCCCCCCTTTCTTCTCTTTCTATCTATCTGTGTGTATGTGTGTGTGTCTGTCTCTTCCCCCTTTCTTATCTATATGTGTGTCTGTCTGTCT